TCCTGTTAAGGTGTTTCATTTTTAACAAAAAAAAAGGTGAGTGAAAAACTGTTGGCTAATGCTAACTAGCTTGTCACTGTAATGTTATATGAGACGCTGTTTAGCAGCCCAAGCTCACCTGTTCTATTTTCAGCCTGCTCTTTATGTTCAGACTGTTAAAATAAAACTCAGATTGAAGTCTAACTTGAGTAACAGAGCTTCAAACAGAGCAGTGCCTAGAGTTAGCTTCACACTCTCAGGGAATATTGATGACATCAGCTGCAAAGTATCAATACATTTAACAAGAAAATTTATTATTGCAAAATAGAACTTGGCATACTCCATGTGATCATAAAGTAAATTCTACATAACCAATGCTAGGAGGACTACACACAAAAAAACATCATATTACTGCTATTAAATCTATTCCAGTGCTTGTTGTTAAGGAAAATGGAGTGTCTGGCCAATAATACAAGCTTCGTTTTCAGCTCCCATTCAGTGTGTGATTTTGTGTGTTGGTTTGGCAGACACTTGAGGCTCAGATGATGACAATGATGACAATGATGACAGCAGAGCTAGATCTATCACGCTCTTCTTTCCCTCTCAACCCTAAACACTGAGGATCAAACAGGAAGTCAGTACCAAGAGCATCCCCTCAGCACCACAACAGACCCAAACCACAAGACTGTAAAAATAACCGCTGTTGCATAGGAGAGATGTGGGAAAGTTGGTAATGCTTGCGATGACAGCAGATAGATCATGGCAAATAAATCTCAGAAGTAATGTGGAAGGACACCCGCATGTGCTCAATGTTATTTTGTCCCATCAACACAACATAGATGACCCCTCAACATCTAGGTTTATAGTTTTCAAAAATTGTCATTGATAGTCACTGACAGGGTTTGTGGCTTGTAGTTGTTTGTATTCTCAACTTGAATACTTGCAACTCAGTATATAATTTGTGTGTTGCCATTACTGTGAGAAGAGAATGTGATTTTAATGATTACTCAAAATTATTGACATCTTGAACAAAAAACAGGGAAATCCTTAATTTTAACTTTGTCATTGTCCACCGTTCCATACTGTGTGAAAGTGTGATTAGACTGTTCAACGGCGCCTCCCTCTGGCCAGCTGCCTGTAGTGTAAAGCAAATTACAAAACAGACCAGTGGATCTCTGCCACTTCTTTTGCCAGTAACTCCTCATTTGTTCTTTAACCCCTCCAACAAGTCCAACTTCAATGCATGATGATAAATAAAACCACTTTAATGATTTGTCAGAAGAGAAGCATCAAATGATTATGTCATTTCACACACAAATAATTTAACACGTTAAGCAAATGATGACAACCTCTGCAAATGTGGAGTGAGAGAAGACAACTCTAAATATGTTTCCATGCCAGGGCTTTGATGGTAGCCTTTTAAAAAGTATGAGAAGAAATAGAGATCTAAATCAGCCTCACTACATTTTAGTCTTTACTTTCCAGTGGTTCTGCCAGTCGCTTTCAGCATAAGCTGTGTGCATGACAACACAATTAGAAGTCAGCTACAAAAACAAGCCTCTTACGAAATCTCTCTTGCCTTTCACATAAATGTTTTACCAAGAGAATCATAAAGGAAAAAGAACCAATCATTATTTCATTTGGTAGCCACTTAACAACAGCTTCATCTGCCAAGTTATGAATGAGCTGAGCCTGCAAAGCAACTGGAAGACAAATGTAAACATTTTGACATTTTCCCTACAACTAACAAAGGGAACTTATACCTCCATAAGAATCTTAAATGAATTAATCATTAATAATTTAAATAATTTTCACATCACATGGGTGAGTCTGATATAGTGCAATATACAATACAGTACATCTAAAAACACACAAAAAGTGAGTGTAGAAGATTAAGAGTTTTGACCACCCCGAGCATAAGAATTAAAGCAGTCATTTCCCATTTAGTGACACAAGCATAAGCCATTGGCAGGTCTGATGTGATGGCTCCTGAGGGTTAGACTTCAGTCACAGTGCATTGTCCGTCAGGGCTGCGTGAGCGCACAGGTGCAGCACTGGGTGGGGCTCCTCTAGGGGGCATCCTGGAGGGCTGGGTCTCACTAAGCGCCCTCTGTGTGTGCCTCCTTTGCCTGAGAGACTGTGCTCTTCCTCTAGCTCTGTCTGCCTCCTCTTCACTGCTGCTGGAGGAGTCGTCCTCTACATCCTCCTCTGGAGAGCTGATCAGGAGTTCGGAGAAAGTCTCTTCTAAAGTAGGTGTCGGAGTATGTATTCTGGTCACAGGACGTCCCAGGAGCGTGGGGGGTCTTACAGGGGGAACAGACGTCATAAAGCGTAAAGCAGCAGGTAAGGGATGGCCTGTTGTGTCTGAGCCATCAGCTAAATGTACTCGTTCATCTGGTGGTGTACTGGGTACAGGCTCAGGGTCTAACCTTAATCCAGCAACCCCCTTTTTAGGAATATCAACACCATCCCTCTTGATCTTGCGCCTACGCCCATGCTCATTGCGGCGGTACTGCACCATGTTCTCCAGATCAGCCACATACAAAAAGCCTGCGATCAGCATCTCTGTGCTGCTTTTGCCTTTGGAGAAGGACTCCTCCAACTCTCGGCTGGTTCTTTCATCGTACTGCCACCAACCATTGCGCCCCTCATAGTACCATGCATAGTCCTTATGAGCACCACCCCCCAGCCCACGGCTCAGTCCTGCCGCTGCAGCCTTGAGCTCCTCAGGGGACAGAAGCACAGGCCTCTCCAGGAAGTCCTCGGGCACCTCCTGACGACAGAGAGCGCAACGCTTACTGTGCCAGGACGCCCCCTTCACGCAAAGGAAACAGAAGACATGACAGCAGGGCAGCTGCACCGGGTGCACACAGCTCTGCAGGCAGATGGCACACTCCGGGTTAGAGCCGGGACCAGGGGACTCCCCGACCTCCTCCTGCAGCTTTGGGGTGAGGCTTTTCAACGGAGAGTCCACCTTTTCAGAGCCTGCCATTCTGTGAAGGCACAAACAAAGCATTAGCCTATTCAGTGCTGACATACAGTTTTGGAAACGCCCACTGAAGTTAAGTATCTAAAAATTCCAAGCGTTTAGCTGACGAATATTACAAACATGACTGCCCATACTTTTTATTCCAGTCCAAAACATACAAATGTCTAAATACAAACCCACGCCGTCTGTTTATGGATGTACAATATTTCCGCTCACACAACAGCTGTGTTAGCATGCTTGTTAAGCCGAAGAAAAGTCAGTGTGTACAAGACGAAGCATTTCTGAAGTACATAGTGAGGCAGTAGACTATGAAATTACAATTACCTTTGCTATATTTAAGATAAGGCTAAAATTAGCTTCGCAAAGCTGACTCGTATTACGGTATAGTCTTGTTAGCTTTCAAACATGCTAACATTAAGCCTAGTCAGTACATAAGCTAATAAACAATAGTAAAATATGACGCAGGTTACTCACTCTAGCTGTGTATCTAATTTGCCTTCAAAGTCGAAGTACAAAGTGCCGTAAAAATGATTTACATTGGGTTCTAAATGAGCGGTTTTGTTCTGTCTAAAGTCTGTGTGCTGACAGCTCCAGTCCGAGCCAAGCCCTGCTTTTACTGCCTGTGGATTGGCCCGGCGTGCGCCCCGTGCGTCTGGAGAGCGTTTACGCAGCGTCAGAAATGGGCTTTTTCTCTGCCAAATTATTTTCTTTTCTGAAATGTATTTGTTGGATTTATGTAAGTATTCATGTATAAATGTAAAATATCTTTATTCATGATAATGCAACCAATATCTTCATTGATTTTTATTGCAATATTTTCATCCTCCCGCGAAACCAAAAATAATTTATGCAAAAAAAGTTGTTTTTGTTTTTTTTTCCCCAAAAGAGACAGTGCTTATAAATCTGGCATACGCCTCTTAATTACAATCATCAAGGCAAACCATTAAAGTAATATTTACAAAGTATAAGTTGTTAAATAATAACAAAAGCACATTTTAAAAGAAAGAGCAACGCACTTAGATCAATATTACCAATAACTATGGCATTACATTTGATATGAAACTCTGTCTCTTTTTAAAAATACATTTTCTGAACTGAAACAACTTTGGACATGGCTTCCTGAAGCGTCTTGGAGGACTCAACACTTGTCTGGTGCGCATCTTCTCTCCCCTTCTGTACATTTTCATGCTGCGTTTGCGAACACATGGGCTCCAGTCTGACCACTCTCCTACCTCACAGTGCACTATGGAAGAGACACTGTGATGATGAGAAAGACACTCACAGGTGGAAAGAGTAAAACATGGTAGAAAAAAGTGAATTGATGGTGTTGGCATCAGTGAATTCACATGTGTTTGATAATGCTATTGAAGGGAAAAATATTGAAATTTAGAATACCTCTCACCTTGCGGGAGGCACTGCATAAGCTGCTCATCAGGCTCGAATCCCTTTGGGCAGGTGAGATAGCACTGGCCTTGAAGAGTGTATAAATCTGCTCTGCAGCTCAGACACATGTTCCTCCGCATGCAGAGCTCACAGCCAGCAGGACACTCTGAAGAACCATACAATATAAATTACATAAAAAACATACATAAATAAATAAATAAATAAATAAATAAATGTACCTATACATTCTCGTAGTTCAGGGTTGGCTGTGAGCCCAAAGGGACAGCTGGGTTGACATTTTCCCCGGAACAGAAAGCGACCCGAGTGACAGCGGGTGCAGAAATTTTCACTGAAGCAGAAGGCACAGTCCTCCTTGCATCCTGCAAAATATGGGTGTAATTATTATTGGCCCATTTTTCAATATTAGGCCTGAGCATCCTTATATTTATCTATTAGGGCTCTCTGATGCTCATTTAACAACTGTTACATGTGCCTAAAATATGTACCCACTTGTGCAAGTGTTGATGTAGGGAGATCGTGTATCATAGTGCCCCCGTGGGCAGGAGGACAGACAAACTCCTCTCTGCCTCATCCCATCCAGCTCCAGGTGAAAGAAGAGGCGAGGTTTACAGGACAGACAGCCATTGAGGGCTGAGCACGTCACACAGCCTGTGGGACACAGCCTACTTGCTGAGGAGCTACTTGTTGTGGAGCTACCTGTAAGAGAGGAAAAGATCCATTAAATATGCAAGCCACCCCAGTACGAAACATATAGCATTTGTCCTTCATGGATTTGGCTGCCTGATATAATAACATTTACCAATTTACTGGCAATTACAGGGCAATCCCCCTAACAGCTAATGATTTCAGTAGTCTGGAACAGTGTACAAAGAGCTGTATGTAATGGAAATCTCTGACCACATTATTTTCTAAAAGTGGAGAGAGCACGCTTATCATCTCCATATGCAGCTTACATGTTCTGTTTACTGCGTTACTATAAAAACACAGCATTGGCTACTACCACATCAAACAAGACTGCTGTAGTAATGTTTTCAATAAATACAGTACTTACGTTTGTAGCGCATTATCATGTCTTGACCCATGGTGAGATTCATCAAGTGCAGAATCCAAATCAGTGATGATATGAGCATTTTCCTTCACCTTAAAACGGCATGGGTCCAGTTTGCAGAATCTTCTTGGATCACATCTCAAGTTCTGTCAGACTGAAAGGGCAGCAGAAATCTCCAAACACATTCAAAGTGACCCTTTTGCAGAGCCGAGCAAGAGCGCCTTTGAGTAAAGTTGAAGGTTCTCTGATGAAAATCCCATGTGCATTCCATGAGATCACTCAAGCCGGCAGAATGCCACCAAGAATGCAAACAGAAGAGAGAGCATCATATGATAGTAGTAGTTGCAAAGCCAGATCAAACATAAGTTTAGGTAAGGTACTGTTCCTTCCTCTGCTTTCCACACACACTCTGGCTACGTCTCTGCTCTTCCCCTCTCTCGACCCTCCTTCTGGCCCATTATGACAACACTTTGTATCTTGCCCAAGACCAAAGTGGAAACCTGCAACTGGATTTGGCGTGGGCTTTCTGTTTACTGGTCAACCAAGAATATAAAATTGTGTTTTTTAGAAATTATACACTAGGAATGTTATGTTAGCGTATGGAAATGCAATTTTCACATTTGAGAATAAAAACACTAATTTGAAAAGTAATTAAAAAAAAAACAAAAAAATCCCACATGAGCAATGTTTTATATTTGCTTAAATTTGAGCCAATAAACCCTCAAGATGAAGTATTTTATTCATTAGACAGGAATCAGGAAATGAAAAAATAACAAGTGCGGTATGATATGACTACCTCCCAACAAGAAATCAAAACTTAGATTCAGCAAGCTCGGGGTAGGTCTGCCTTTCCCACAAAAACACAGAGAGGCGATGAAAAGTCAAGTCCTCCAGTGGATTTGTTATTTGGCATCCCGACGTGTATTATCGCCTGTTTTGGGAACTCTCTGCTTCTTCATCTACTTCTCCAAAACAAACTGTAACTGCGCTGCATTCAGCCTTCCCCTTGTGCCTTCTTTCCCCTAGAGATAACCTCACGATCTTAAATCCATAATTCTGCTTTTTAAAATTTATGACATATATAACACGCACTAAAAACATTAAAGGATTGCAGATTTGCTCCATTCCAAAATTATGTATGTTTTAAAGCTTTGTTGGACTGGCAGAAGATCCTTTCTCTCTAACCAAAACAGTAAGGGGTGACACAATTTTCAACCTGTGCAAGACATGTGCAATTTATTAACAAAACACACACCAAGTTACCATAATAAAATTTGTGCCAAAAAGTGGACCGTCCTTTCTTTGATTCTCAGCTATCTGGAAGCAGGACAGAGGAGATATCAGCAATGAGAATTTACATAGTGGTTGATTTATCTCTGCTAGACAAAGCTAAAAGATGCAGCCAGACAGAGGAGCTGGACAGCGCTACACTGGTGCAAATTGCCAACAGGTGCTCTGACACACACATTGAAACACACAAGGCTACTTCTTAAAGTTTTTTAAAGCGAATGTTGCTCTAATCCCTGTAGAATATGAGCAAACCAAAGAACAGGCAATAAAACAGCACCTCAGGGTACCTTGCATGAACAGCCAGCTGCAGCCAAGCAATATCCATCTATCAATCTGCATGTGGTAGATTTATAGATCGGAGATATTGCTCAAAAAGTGGAAATTGTCAACACGGATGACAAATACGATTAGGAAACATAAAAGTTGTGCATTTTACAGACAACAAAAATGAAAAAGGTGCTGAGGGTTCAAAGATCAAAAGTGTAAGGCGTAGGACCAAGCGTGAGTCCCCCCACACCCCGCCCCAACCTGCCTGTGAACATAAACATGACAAGGCTATGCTCAGTGGGGTGCTAGATCAGATTCTTGAGAAAAATATCCACCAGAGGCCAAAGAACGCTTCAGCTGCCAAAAAATGAAGGAAGGAGGGAGTGAAAGGATGGAGAGAATGAAGTGAAAAAGCCAAGTGAATAGTAAAAAAGAAGGCTAAAAAAGGAGAATATGAACCACATGGTTACGAGAGGGATTGAGAGGACTTGGACTACCAAGTCTCTAAAGTTATGTAATTTATAAGGCTGTAAATATGAACTGGAATAATTGTGAATAATTAATATGCCTAATCTGCAATAATAATCATTAAAACTTTATGTGTTAATACTATAAACCAAACAATGTTGCAAAGACACCTGCATTACAGCAAACAGCTAAAAAGAATAAACACTTAAATTGTATGATTTTTGGTTAATAATCCCTATCTAGAAGTAATTAGACATTATATTCCTCTTAGTCCTTAAAAATTCTGAAAACCCCAATACAAAAAAATAATAGTTTGACAAATTAAATAAAATAATGATCACTGACTTGAGGACAACTAAAATCCCACAGTTTCAATCCTAGTAATTTAGAAAGTAGTTTTAAAATCAGGAATTGTAATATCTGATTTGATAAGTGCAAACAGAACAGAAAAAAATGTGAGAAGGCAAATACTACATAAAAAGCTAGATTTCATAATAGTTACAGGGATTAGTGGTTTCTAGGGCACTGTTTTTTCCCCTTCATTTCTCACTGACAAAAGAGGATGGTAAGACAAATGGTGCAGTGGGGTCTGCAAAGATAAGGGGCAATGAGGATAACATCTCCACACACAGATAATCTACGCAGCATGAAGAATTGTGGAATTTGGAAGGAGGCCGAGGCTACGCTCATCAGAGGTGCTGTGAGGCATGTAACTTAACAGGCTCACCATGACGGACAACAGCAAGAAGGCTTTTAGAAGAATAAGACAGAAATAATGTACTTTTCTTTATATTCTGCATACATTCATATGGTATTACTATCAGCAATCATGATTCTTTTTAATTTGCTATTATAAAGAGTTATACCTGAGAAAAATTATCTGCAATGCAAGACCAGAGCAAAAAGTGTAGTCAAAACAAATAGTTTAATAGAAATAAAGTTGGGCATCTACATTGAAAGGATAAAACCAAAAAGTGAAGTTTATATGAATAGTATGGCAGATAAAAAGAAGTAAAAAATTAAAATAGAAATTAAATGTTGTTTAACTTCGCTCTTCATCCTCTGGCCTTTTTCAGCATTTTCTATAAAAGATACACATAGATAATTGTATTGTTATATTGATATATCCATATTATTAATTCATGTATACGAATGTTTGCAGAAAGGACTGTTATAATGTTTTGGACAGACCTTGGACACTGCTTTCAGGTGCTGAGCTCGGACTGTAGCAGATTTCTCTTCGAAAGCTTTAGCCTTTGCTTCTTCCGCCAATCCGTTCAGGAAAACAAGAGTTAAAAGCTCAATCTAGGGGAAAAAGCACGTTATACAATAAATTCATTTTCATTTCAAACAAACAGGGTAAAATGAATGACAAACTAAATTTACCATCGCCTCCGACGCTGGTCTGATATTTATGCTAGTTGTCGCTTTGCTCTTGATAGTGTTTTTCAATCTAGGAGCCTTTTTCAACATTTTAGCTGCCTGTAAAACCTCTCAACTTTTCCAAAGAGAAAGAAAAAAATGTTTATATTTTTCAAACTCCCGCTTTTCTACTTCCGGGTACACTTCTTCGTGAGGCATTTCGGAATGGTACAAAACGTGACTGCCATCTAGAGGTCAATATAATCAACATTTATAGTCATAATTATGGTATCTAAGAACTAGGATTATATTTATCAACAGTAAAAATAATTTAATGCGAACAATAAAAAATACTCACTTGCAGAAGACTTTGGAGTTGTTTTGCCTTTCTTTGCCTAGGCATTCCTACCCTCTACTGGCTCTCCACTGCCTCTGCGCCACTATTGTTTTTCCGGGTCAAAGAGCAACATGGCAGCCGCCAGTAGCACAAACGGCATGAGAAATATGCTGCAGTTTATGAAGCTTGTTGGGCAGCTGAAAGTAAGAAAACACTAATGATTATTAACTAAAGATTGTGATCTTAAATATGACTTGCTGCATATGCCAGTGCTTTGCACACACTTATTAAACAACAGTAGACGACTGGATACACATGCAGTGGATTCCTTATTTTATTCCAATGCATTAAACAGAAACAACAAACTACCAATTTAGTGCACATATGTCACTCATTTCCGAAATGTAAATGTTAGGCATGTAAATATTGTAATTTATGAAGTTTTATTATAATGAAATCCTTTAGCAAATACATAAGAAATTATTATTCAGTTCAGTGTTATAATAAATGTGTCTTTACAGAGAGTGCCTCGGACAGGCTGGGTCTACAGGAAAGTGAAAGAACCAGAGAGTGTGTCAGATCACATGTACCGCATGGCCATGATGTCTCTGACCATCACTGACCCCACAGTGGACAGGGACAGGTAAAGCACACACTACATAGTACTAATTAGCAGGACTGTATTGTGTTTTATTAATTAATACAATTAACTACAATTAGGTGTATAAAGCTTGCTCTGGTTCATGACATGGCAGAATGCATTGTAGGAGATATTGCTCCCTCAGACAATATCAGTAAAGAAGAAAAACATCGCAGAGAAGAGGTGAATGATGGCCAAATTTTAACAGCCACAAACCAGTGAGCTTTCCCAAGACTAACAATATTTCTTCCCCTCAGGAAGCAATGAGGCATTTATCAGGTCTTTTGCCAAATGGACTGAGGCAAGAGATCTATGCACTGTGGGAGGTATAACATTTTACCTTGCTGTTGTACATGCATGTTTCAATGGAAACATGTCTTTGTACCTTAAGCTCACATGTTTCTACTGTAGGAGTATGAGACCCAGAGCAGTGCAGAGGCTCGGTTGGTCAAACAGTTTGATCTCCTGGAGATGATCCTTCAGGCCCACGAATACGAGCAGGAGGAGGCAGCACCCGGACGACTGCAGGAGTTCTTTGATTCCACCAATGGTAAATATCTGATATATTATGTACTAAATATGTTCACCTACATTGTTACTAACACTGCTTTTCTGTGCTTAGGTCGTTTTCTCCATCCAGAGGTTGTGGAGTTTATCAAATGTCTAAATGAGGAGCGAGATTCTCATGTGACCAGTGGTGGTGAATCACACTCTCAGACAACAGGTCAGAGTGCGAATACAGACAGTACATCACAAGCCTCATGAAAGTGAACTGTAGCTGGATAAGGACACATATACCTCTGTGGGGGCTGCTCATACCTCGGACATTTTGATATCAAATCTTATGTAACTGTGACAGAGCTACATATTATATAATAATTAGTGATTCAGTGTAAACAACATCAGTCACTCTAGTGACTGGTTTGTTATTACTGTATAAAGCGTTTTCTTTTTTTTATTAAAGGTTGTATTGCTTCAGTTACAGTAACATCAGGTCGACTAACAAACATTAAGCACTCAACAGCAGGCATTGGCATCAAAGGGTCAAACTGTGATTAAAAAAGAAAAAGTTTGTCAAAACTGAATGTCAACATGAATTTTAATAAACACTTGAATAAAATATGAGGTGATCTTAGTCACCCTTCACATCACAACAAAAAAGAAATGGTTAACATATGAAAGACAACATGATAACCAGTAACAGATGCATCTATTGAACTGTGCTAACTTTGATGGCAATGCCGCCAAGCAGTTTAAAATTCATTATCATGGAGCTGTCCTCATGAACCAAGATCATTTACATGTACTTGTTACATTAAAGTCTTGGGTCAGATTACAGCTGCAGTACAAGTAATGGGTGTATCATTTACACTTACATTGATCCATTTTTCAATGAACCATTTGTTAAAATGAATGTTTTCATACATTTTATAATAGACAACACAAAAGACATAAAGCCATCATTGCAAATGCACAGGGTCATTGTCACTGCAATGTTGTATAGTAATGTACAACAGTAAAAGTAATGTACTCGTGTGTGATGCTGCTCATCAACACTGTGATGATGGGAATAGATAATCCCTTGGACTGCTGCATTTACAGCATAGTACAGTTAATTTAGTCGTGAAATGCAATGAAAATGTTTTTTTTCTTCACAAAACAGGTTTGGATAATAATAATTTAGCAGAATACATCAGCCATAGTCCATATAAAGTAAGCTTGTAATAGTAGTTTTAGTAAAAAGGTTAACAGCAGTTTGGATTGATGTGCTGAGCCCTGTCATACAGACTATCTGCATCTCAAATGCTGCTTCTCACATCTGCATTCATTTACATAAAAAGGGATTATTAGGCATCTCTGATGCAATACAGCTCTGTGTTTTAAATTATGACCTCAGGATTGTTGTAACCTGAACGGTTATCTTATAGAAGACAAAATTACAACCATCTGATTTGCTTTATGTTTATAGTTGGCTATATGTGCTGTAATGTAGCTTGGAGACCACTAGGGGGTACATAGGGATGATACTGATTAAGACCATTCAGTCCACATTCATATTAAACCTCCTTTAACATTTAAGTAGTGCTGTTATTTTTGGTCCAGACATTAAATTGCATAATAAGTGAATTTCTTGATGACATTTAAAGGCTTCTAACACTGAAGAACAGTTCAGTCTCGGGTCAAAGTGCTGCTCTGTAGCAGTGGCTCTAGCAGGATCCCTCGGGTGCAGGCGTGATGCTGTTAGTGGGCGTGTCCTGGTTACTGGCGTTTGCTGCAGATGACAGAACATCTTCAAAACTGCCTCCAGATCCTGTCCCTCCAACCTTTGTCTAAAAGAACAGACATATCATTTTCAACATTCATTCAGTATCATCTTTTTTTTTTAAGTTAAGACAATGTGTAAAATGCTAAGGAGACTAGAAAGTGATGCTTTTACATTTTTCCATAACTATTATGTTTTTATTATAGAAACAAGTCAAACATGTTTAATTGTACAACAGATATTTCTGATTCAAGCAGTTATTTATGTTGCAAAAATAGTCTGTTACTGTAAAAATGATGTATAATGCATCCTTAACTAATAAGAATAAAAGCCCACTGATACTCTCCCACACTGCCAACTGATCAAATTAAAATGAACATTGTTGATCACTATTTCTGTATTTGTCTACATTTGCACAGTGTCCAAGACCTTTATGATAAGAGGTTGTATGAATAACCTTGATGCAAGAACTACTGCAAGGGCTAGTTTTTGTGTTTTAAGTTAACAAGTGGTGACCTTTTAATATTATGTGAACTAAACAGAGCAACTTGCATTATAAACAATAATTACACAGAAACTGTTGTATTGTACTTGCTTTGCACATCTGTAACAACAGTCTAAGCTAATGATATCCATCTCTTCTTTACATCATTGGTTTTGTGTGTATCATTACCTTGATACTGGACACTGTGGTCTCAACTTTCTCCTCAAAGGATTTGAAACTGGGAGAGTTCCTGTGAACAGTGAATCACATACAGTCAGCTCTAGACTAAAATATATTAAATCCATACTTTCTCTGCCTTGTACTGGATGGTCTTCAATCACTGTTAAGGAGACTATCTAAAAGATATAGAAGTATGGAGTGGTTACCTCATAGTGGGCATGCTCATAGACTGTTTGATATTGTAGCTGTCCCGAGAGCATAAGGAAGAGCAGTTCACAGTTAGCAAAAGACATAGACAAACAATGTAGGCAAATAAGGAAACCACTGTATTTTATCTGTATTTTACTATGTTTCGAATACTGATACAGAAATATATGCTATTCGACAATATGAAGTACTGTAGTGTACTGTAGTATTCAACAGGCTGAAGATGGCGGGAAATATCAATATTAAATAGCTGCAGTTGAACTGAAAAAAATATTATATATATATATATATATATATATATATATATATATATATATATATATATATATATATACACACAAATAAATGCAAACCCCCCCCCAAAATAATCAATTTGTCAAAGCCAATATAGCCATGATGAAGATGAATACTATTCATGACTCAAAATTATAATGATATTAAGGGCATCATGAGTCTGAAATTCCAATACAGTTTGATATTCAGATTCACTATTTACTTTTATTATTTATTTATTTTTTGTTCTATAAACATGTTTACCATGATGAAGAGGAACATTTCATATTGAAATGCTTCTTTTCCACTTTCCCATGACATATTAAGACAATTTGATATACGTGAAACTATTTGATTCAAGGCGTTGGCAGCACAGTCATCTGACCGACTGCTCAGTACTGTACACAGGCCTGTCAGCTGATGTTAGCCGCTGTAAACTGGAGTCTGTGCAGTTAAGTTAGTTACACTGGGCACTATCAGTTAAGTTAGTTACACTGGGCAGCTGGGTGGGCCTTACCCTATAGATGCAGACCTTAGCAAGCATGGGGGAGACAGAGCAGAACAAAAATCAGGACAAAAAATATATATATATACGCCTGTCACGATAATTACTTAATTGTTCAATGTATGTTAGACAGAAGGTCAGTATTTATTGTGGGTATTTTTTCTTTGTACTAATTCAACGATTAGATTTGAGCTGTAGAAAGATGAATAAATATCATCTGCAACTCATTACAGATACAAATTAACTACTAAAGTGTTTCATTCTGCTGTTTATTTATTATCGTGACAGGCCTAAATAAATAAATAAACACATTTTCCAAAACATGAAAGCTGAGAAGTTGTGGTGTTTCAGTTATTAAACTTCACAGCAAGACAAACCATCAAACTATAATAATAGTCACTTAAAAAAAAACAACTGTAAGTACTCATTAAACATTGTATGGGCTCTTCTGTACATGTTATTTACTTGTTCAGCTCTTTGGGGGCATTGAAACAAAACTTTTTAAAGCTTCATTTAGTTCAAATGGTAAGTTAAGTAGTTTTGAATAAGTGCTTCCATTCGCTGTACTGTAAGGTCTTCAATGTCACTCCTCCAAATTGAGTCTTCAGTGGAAATAAAATACCTAAACAGGCCTAACCTCCTTGTCAAAGCCTGATCTCATCAGATCTCAGAAACTAAGCAGGGCTCGGCCTGGTTAGTACTTACTTGGAAGACCGCTGGGAATTCTAGGTGCCACAGTGGGGTGCCAGTGACAAAAACAGACCAAGACACTTCACCCACATTGCCTAGTATGAAAGTTCCATGTGTGTTGGTGATGGTCACAGGGGACGATGGCGCAGATTGGCAACGTCACTTCCATCAGTCTACCCCAGGGCAGCTGTGGCTACAATAGTAACTTATCACCATCAGGTATGGAGTGAATGAATGATGCACCAAATTGTAAAGCAACGTTGGGCATTTGGAAAAGTGATATATAGGACTAATGCATAATAATTATTATCATTATTAAAAACCCACACTGCAACTCAAACAATTCAAACATGCTCTAACTCAGCATCATACCAGAACATACCTCCGAGGGAAGATCAACTCAAGTCCAACCAAGCTGAAATAAATAACCATCATCTTCATATAGAGCATTGACAAACACGAACCATAACCATGGGTGATATTTTAAAATCTCTTAGTAAAATGTCTAGACGAAGATGTAAAAGTCAGTATCCACTTGTGCATACTTGTTTGTCATCTGCAGCACTAATGGCCCCTTTTGCAGCCGCTGAACAAAGCCAACACAAGACTCATTCTTCACGACGCACTCCAGTGAACAAAGAGAGGAGTGACAGAGAAAGAAGTCAGAGCCCAGAGAGAAAGAGGGAGCAGCAGAGAGAAAGACGGACTTTTCACTACCAAAGAAGCAGCTTAATGCAGTCTTATATAACAGAAGTTTTACCCATAAGTTAGGAGAAAAGGGAGAGAAGAGGACGAAGAAAGTTTAACATTTAAGTGGGGTCCTTACATACTACAGAGATACAGGGAATGAGAGTAATTCATAAGAACAAGAACCAATCATACAAAGATAATTACTGTATTCCCAGTAACACTGCATATCCCACTGGTTAAGTTAATTAAGAATTGTTAATATGATTACCTCATATCTCCAAGTTTCCTAGAAAGGGCAGTGCCGAGGTTGCTGAAGGCTGCTGTAGTCTTCTGTCCAGCTGTAGACAGTGTCTCTGAAGTTTTCTTATACCTGTTTCAACATATTGAGATATTGTTATAACCAAATATCTTGTAAAACTTTGGACAATTTGACTTTAAGTGTATACTGTGAACGAGCATGTGCAGGTCTAGTTCTGGCAATTCAGGGGGGCAGACTGAAAATGTTAGTGGGAAAACTTTAAGGTAGATGTGAATTGCTGTATTTGGTAGGAAGTATGATTGTATGCTAAATTTTAACTTTGCACTAGAGCCTAGAAGTACAATAGTACAATAGAACAATAACATAACATAACATAATAAAATGATGCATTTTAATAAGCTTCTCTAAAATGGAATTTGTATTACATTAGTAAAGGTCCTATATTAGGCAAAATGGATTCTTTAATTTAAGTTATATTGTTTGTTACTCTGTCAGATGGACTTTCAACTCGCACCTCCGGGAGAACTTCTCCCGGATTCCGGGGGAGGCTGGAGATATGGAGTCCGAGTGGGCTTCATTCTCGGCCTCTATTGTCGATGCGGCTGCTCGTAGCTGTGGGCGTAAGGTCTGTGGTGCCTGTCGCGGCGGCAATCCCCGAACACGGTGGTGGACACCGGAAGTAAGGGATGCTGTCAAGCTGAAGAAGGAGTCCTATCGGGCCTTGCTGGCTCGGGGGACTCCTGAAGCAGCTGACGGGTACCGGCGGGCCAAGCGTGCTGCAGCCCGTGTGGTCGCGGAGGCAAAAACTCGGAGCTGGGAGGAGTTCGGGGAGGCCATGGAGAAGGACTATCGGACGGCCTCAAAGAGATTCTGGCAAACCGTCTGGCACCTCAGGAGGGGGAAGCAGTTCTTCGCCAACACTGTTTACAGTGCGGGGGGAGAGCTGCAGACCTCGATTGGGGACATTGTCCGGAGGTGGAAGGAATACTTTGAGGATCTCCTCAATCCCACCGTCACGTCTTCAGAGGAGGAGGCCGAGGCTGGGTACTCGGAGGTGGACTCATCATCACCCTGGCTGAAGTCACTGAGGTGGTTGGAAAGCTCCTTGGTGGCAAGGCTCCGGGCTTGGATGAGATCCGCCCTGAGTACCTTAAGTCTCTGGATGTTGTGGGGCTGTCTTGGCTGACACGCCTCTTCAACATCGCGTGGCGGTCGGGGACAGTACCTCTGGACTGGCAAACCGGGGTGGTGGTCCCTCTGTATAAGAAGGGGGACCGGAGAGTGTGTTCCAACTATAGGGGGATCACACTCCTCAGCCTTCCCGGTAAGGTCTATGCCAGGGTACTGGAGAGGAGAATCCAGCCGATAGTCGAACCTCGGATCCAGGAAGAGCAGTGTGGTTTTCATCCTGGCCGTGGAACACTGGACCAGCTCTACACTCCGGTCTGGTTTGGGGACCACAGGATCTCATCTCTGCTGTTTGCAGACGATGTTGTCCTGTTGGCTTCATCGAACCAGGATCTGCAATGTGCACTGGGGCGGTTTGCAGCCGAGTGTGAAGCGGCTGGGATGAAGATCAGCTCTTCTAAGTCTGAGGCCATGGTTCTCGACCGGAAAAAGGTGGCTTGCCCTCTCCGAGTGGGTGGAGAGTCCCTGCCTCAAGTGGAGGAGTTCAAGTATCTCGGGGTCTTGTTCACGAGTGAGGGGAGGACGGAACGTGAGATTGACAGGCGGATTGGTGCAGCTTCGGCAGTGATGCGGTCGCTGTATCGGACCGTTGTGGTGAAGAGGGAGCTGAGCCGAAAGGCGAAACTCTCGATTTACCGGTCAGTCTTCGTTCCTACTCTCACCTATGGTCATGAGCTCTGGGTAGTGACCGAAAGGACAAGATCGCGGATACAAGCGCTCAAAATGAGTTTCCTTCGCAGGGTGGCTGGGCGCTCCCCCTTAGAGATAGGGTGAGAAGCTCAGTCACACGGGAGGAGCTCGGAGTAGAGCCACTGCTCCTCCACGTCGAGAGGAGCCAGTTGAGGTGGCTCGGGCATCTGTTCCGGATGCCTCCTGGGCGCCTCCCTCGGGAGGTGTTCCGGGCATGTCCCGCCGGGAGGAGGCCACGGGGAAGACCCAGGACACGCTGGAGGGACTATGTCTCTCGGCTGGCCTGGGAACGCCTCGGGGTGCCCCTGGAGGAGCTGGAGGACGTGTCTGGGGTGAAGGAAGTCTGGGAGTCCCTGCTTAGGCTGCTGCCCCCGCGACCCGGCCCCGGATAAGCGGACGAAAATGGATGGATGGATGTTTGTTACCCCATAAAAAGCATGCCCAGAGAGTTTCATTCACACGTTTGTCTATAGTTGTCTCTTAAAAGATTACGGGCCTCTTATTGTTTTGCATGTTTTTATACTGTTTGTTTGTGTTTTTGCTCACACAAATGTGTAAAAAATATCTATATATTATAAGTCTGTCTACATCTCCAAGGCTCAAAATGCCCTGTACCACCTTGTGAAGTCAGGTAGTGATAGTTTTCAAACAGCTCCCTTTTACCTTTTGTTCTGTTACCTTATGTCAATTATTTGCCATGATTAAGAATAAATGTGATTTTATTATTATTATCAAAAAAGGGGAATTGTTATGGAATATGTACAGTACATGTGTGAAACATAATCCATATAGTTCAGTTTTACCATATGTGTAAATTTTTCTACAACGACCTGTATTTTAACTCTTGTGCACTGATGTTGCTGACTCATACTGCTAATCCTATAAAATAAGATATAATGTTCCGCTTAAACTGGTCACATCTGGTTTGGTTATCTTATGTATTTAACCAGAGTATAAATGGGGTGTCCTCATTGCATTGACAGAAAGTATACTGACTGATATAAGGATGGTTAGGTTTTATAGCTGTGCACAGTTATACATGAATTCACCTAGGAATACTACAACTATTACTACTGATTTATTTTTGCCTGAAATCATCCAATTGATTCTAGTGAAGGTGTATGGGGCAGAGCACTTCCTGTATTACTACATGACATCACAAGGTGGAAAAGGGTTTTTTCCTTTTCAGGGAAGAACTTACGAACCTAAATATACAGTGTTTGGTGTTAAACATGTATAAGTAAAACAAAATAAAACTCCTGGTATGTTTTTGATGATGAAACAACATTATAAGAGATATCAGAAAATAGCATAATATAGACCCTTTAATACAGTAAGTGCTAAAATACCTAAAATGAAAATAACTCAACATTTCAATTGACTGATTACATTTTTGTTCCAGTCTACTTATTTTCTCCATACAGGATACAGGAATCTCCGTAGCTCTGAGCAGTGTTACAGCTCACCCTTAAGACTTGGGCCTAGTTCATTATAGATGAGAACAGCGTGTGTGTAAAGGGAGCTCCAGGTTGAGGTGTAATTGGATAAGAAGAGAGGCCACAGGAGAGGCTCTGCTTGCTCCTCTGTTTTTGGCGGCTGGGTAAAAGCTCAAAGCTGATCATCAATTAGTGAATCTCAATTTGATGAAAGAGGAGTGATCCGTGTACAACAGCTAAACTACACTTTTGACATCTTTTTGGGCTGAATATGAACTAGCAGCCTGGCCAACGAAACCCAGGGGAGTAATTATCAGTGTGCAGAGGTCATGCAGAGGGGAGCCATTTGATTTGCTCATAATCATGTTTGTGATGTCTGCTTTTGTGCGTACGACCAAGATTATAAATCAGAGCCGCGCTTTGCAGTTCTGCCCAGAGGAAAATGTTCTTCCAATTGGATTTTATCACGTCTGCGTTGGCTATAGTGAGATGATTTTCGTTTAGAGAATTAAGACCCATTTTAGTGGTCAGTTTGAGATGTCCTGTATTTACTAGAGGCGGTGCAGTGTTGACATAAAACAGATGAACGGTTTGGTTTGAGTTACTAGAACTATGGATGGGTCAAGAGCTTGTTTTTGTCTTAAATTCTGATTTTGCACACATAGTTGTAGTTACAAAAAATCAGTGCAAGTACTGAAACTAGATACTCATTTGATCAAGTATCCATCACATAAACAGAATACAAATTTGACCTTTCCTGAACAGTTTTAGTATTAGTAGCACAAAGAAATCATAGACTGTATAAGCCGCTGTGTTCCAAATAGAAAGTCAGCATGGGGGCACTTCCCACTCTGGGACCAATTGACTTAACATTGAAAAATTGTTGTCCCTCTCTCAGTAATGCTCTACATAATCCTGGTGTTTATATATTGAGCTATTTTGTTCATTAATAAATTCCTATTCCTAATATGTAACTCAGCTCCAAATTTGCTCCTATAACTACCTTCATTTAACTGGAGCTGAACACTATGGGCAATATCATACTCCCTTAGTCCACTTCTTTATACATTCTATGGTATCACGCCTACCTCTTAGTATCAAAATCAAATTTGGATCTTAGTATCCTGACAACATTACATCAAAATATCATCTTGTGGGAATCATGTCTGATTTATCCCATAGTTACCATCAAAGCACTTACGCTGTGGAGTTGGTCATATCCTGCCATCCACGACTGAAATTGTTCCGTAGTTCGCTCAAAGGAGTCAGACCCAGTTTGTCTTTCAGCTCTGCATGTTGCTTTTCTTTAGATGATAAAACCTGCTTTAGTGTGCTGATCTCCTCTTCTAACTGCAGGACAAAAGCAGTGGTTATCTGATGTTTCAGATAGCAGAGATAATTAGAACACTTGAGTGTGTGCAGTAAACCTTGGTTAGCTCCTGCTGTATCTCCTCTCTCTCCTCCTCTGTCATGGTGGAGTTGCTCAGGTTGATTTCTGAAGCCAGATCTTCATCTGCTTCTTGCAGAGGCTGAGAGTCCAGACCTACATCAGACCAGACAATATACTGTAAGCAGAAGTCCTCTTAGTGGTCGTAATGTTACGTCATATATAATACTATGAAACCAAAACAGACCAACTTTGCTATCAGAATCACCAATACAATAAATAGCTGTATACAGTTATCTAGACCAGTTTTTAAGTCTCTATAGTGTCTCATCCTCAGCGTAATGGTCCTTATTGACCAGTTTTCTGTCTCATTTCTGTCTCATTCTACTCTTCACTTTCCACTCCTCCATTTTTTACAACCCCTGTTATCTAATTACTTTCTTAACAAAAATGCCATTACCCAATTGACAGATTTATTTTCTTATTTCAAGATAATTCATCTTAAAACTGAAAATTGTATAAGAAGTCAACATAACCTAGACATAGTCATAAACACTCAACTCCCGATTAAAGGTCCTATATTAAGCAAAATGGACTTCAGACAAGTTATAATGTTGTTACCTCATCAAAAACATTCCTGGATTTGTGTTTTGTTTCATTCACACCTTTGATTGATCCTGCATTATTAGTTTGTCTACATCTCCAAAGCTCAGAATGCTCTGTTCCACCTTGAGATGTCATGAAGTTGTACTTTTCAAGTTAACAGCTACCTTCTACCTTTTGTTCAGTAGAGATTGGAAATTCCAGGACTAAAATTATTCAAATGATTCTAGTGAAGGTGTATGGAGTTTAAAAACACATTGGAGCACTTCCTGTATTACCACATGGCATCACAAGGTGGAACAGAGTTTTTTCAGTTTGAGAGAAGAACTCATATTAAATATGCAATGTTTAACAAGGGGAACCAGAACACAACTCTGGGCATGTTTTTGATAAGGAAACAACATTGTAGCACAAATCAGAAATAGCATGATATAGGCCCTTTAATATGTGAACCCTTATTAGTGATCCCTTTTATTTACCTTAACTGTGAGGTGTATTTGACATTCACAGTAACTGTTTCTTTATTTTAGATTAGATGATGTTATTTTCCTACAACCTTTCCTCCAGTTTATCAGATCAACCTTGAGCTGAGTGGATGTCTAAATACTGCATTAGCCTCGTCTCCCTGCCACAGCCTGGGAATCAGACAGTCTGCCAGTACCTTTATGATGGTCCAAAGGTTATGTAATGTACGCCTGCAGTGTGGAGGGTGCTAATCTGGATTACCATTGGATTATAAGGTCCTGCTCAATGACACACAAACGTACAAGACAATATGCTCCTTCTGAGACTTTTACTGTGCGAGGTTGGACTGGATTACTGGATTCTCTTATAGTTGATGGCCATGCTTAGTTCTGTACTGACTCAACACAAAAATAAAATTAATACATAAAATGAAAACACATAGGTCAGTTAGCATTTATTGTGGGTACTTTTTCTAGTGGTGACTGTAGTTGTAATTTTTCTGTTTTGCCTCAAGACTAAATAACTATGACTTACAATAGATTCAAGCTTACTGTGTGTTTTATTTACTACTTATTTATTGTGACCATATTGCACATGTAGGGGTTATGGAATAATCTTGCTGTAGGATTATTGTGTCATTGGAGTAAATTAGTTTCAGTATTATCACACTTCAAAATGTATTATCGTGACAGGCCTACATGTACACACAGCCAGTGTAAAAAAAGACTGATTCTCAGCTCTGACAAATTGCTGAATGTCTCCCCTTGCTCTTCACATTCTCATTTTACATTGCTTACTGTCTTAACCAATAAATTAAAAAAAACAATAATTTACTGAAGACATCTTAACAATAAAAGTATCTTCAACCTGGAAATTACAATTGAGATCAGAAGAACACTGTTTAGTTAGATATGCCAACTCAAAATAATCAATGATCAAGATGAAGCTGAATGTACAACACAAAGGTAGATAAAAGAAAGCTAAACGCCACCAGAAGACAGCAGTTTAGGCAATACAAGATGAAATATGTCAAATGAATAGAGCTATGCAGTACATAGTTAACAGCAGTTAGCATAGTAAAGTATTCCCTTTAATGACCACATCCGGCAAAAGGCAAGAGTGATGAATGAAGGAAGTATTGGAAAGGTAAATATGCACTAACAGTTATACTACTGTGTGCCAGCATGGAATGTAAATTCTATGGGTCATCAAGGACATACCTGCGCTTAGATGTCCTCTGTCTTCACATAGAGCAGAATGAGACAAAATCAGGTTAGTTCAAGTCAATATGTGGTTTAACCTTTTCTACACCACACCATGCAGGCTGGACTCACAAGAACAGCAGTGTAATAATCAGGCATGCATGAGAACTAAAGCAGGAACTACTTCTCACATCACATGGTGTTAGGGAAATACAGCACTTTCATTGTTAGGAGGAGTAGACAGTTTCCCATTTTGAAGTTAAATGGCTTACAGTTGAGCAGTATATCTTATACATTATTATTATTTTATCCAGAAAACCTGCAAGTGCTAAAATGTGACTTCATAGTTGAGTTTCATCATTTGCACAATTCGAATAGATTGTAAAATTAATCTTAAACTGTGTAACTTTTCTTGTGGAGGGTCCGTCACCTTCTCCTTTCCATGGAGATACTGCCTGGAATGTTTCACAGTATGGCATTACACTTATTTATATCTACAGAGACAGCAGTTGACCCCACAACTTACATGTCAGTTCTGTGGAGAGGCAAGCCCACTCACAGTAAGAATGCAAGTTTTTAAATCAATAAAAACACATGTTATTGAGTAAATGCAAAATGGATATGTTTAATGCCATACTGGAACTTTCTAGACAAAACAACATCTCCATGGAGACATACAAGCAGCGGTCCCTCCACCTGAAAAGTTACACAGTAGATAAAAGTTCATAAATATGACTTTGAAGTAAGAACTGGATAACAAGACTGGCCAAACAACCAAAAAGAATCAAAATTATTAAATAAAATAAATACAAAATTGTAAGGTCAAAACTGGATTGAACTGCACAATTGATATCTTGTCTCATCCTGTGAAAATGATGTCTTAACTGGTCAAAAGTTTTGGATTTTAATTTTTTTAAATTTCTTTTACACACTATAGCCTTGTTTGTTACACTGCAAGATTCTGTTCTTTCCGCACAGATTTTAGAATGAGTATGGCAATAATAGATTTGATGTAGTTATTATATTCTTACATGTACTTCTGTATATAGGCTACTGTTGGTCACATGACGCACATTAACAGAGCGTCCAGTGTGCAGATAAGATATGACTAACAGTTCATCATAACTGTCTTTTCAGAGCTCTGAGATGTTTTTTATATGAAGCATGGGGCTGTGGGAGAGGAGATAACTGATTTAATGGAGTTAATGGAGTTGCTTCTACTTTAGCATTACTAAAGACACGCAAGGAACACGAAGGTACAGGACAAGGTTATGGTGGCTAAAGTCTAACATGGACTCAGTGTGGAAAGTTCAAAAATACCAAGCTACATAAGTAATCCAAAACCATCGGTGTAAGGTATGAAGAATTTAAAGGAGAGGTAAAACTTAACATTATATTGACCTTAATAGAACAATGGTATAGGGACAGAATAGTAATGTAATATAGTAACGTAATATGGTTGATTTACAGTTTACTCATAAACTCTCAAAGGGTTCATGATGAAATGATACACATTATGCCAAATTAGATTTAACAAATTATCATAACATGTTATATCTTTCAAGTGGTTCTCCTTTAAACACATCTGTAAGCTTGGTAAAAATCTGGTCTACATTTTTAACTGTACACAACTAGAATCTCCTCTATAGGCTAAAAGTTTATGTCCTACCAGTTTATTATGGAGTAGTTGTTAAAGGTTTGACTACATTGGCTCTAACTGTCCCCTTTGTCCCTGTTCACCTGGGCTGTCCAGTTGCATGTCCCAGGTGTAGGACATGTCCCAGTGCTGTGGTGTCTGTCCCCAAAGTGGCCCCTCTGCACCTGCCTCTGTCCACAGATCCCCATTGGGACCCACCTCCTTCTGATTTACTCCTGAGCAAAGCCATAGTTATAACACATGCTTACTGTCAGACAAGCAGCCTTTAAGGTTTAAAGTTCACTATGTCACTTTTTCAGATGTTCAGATGTTGTCACTTGACTGGAATATTCCTCACTGTTGCATTAAACTGGTAGGAGATCTTGCATGTATTCAACTAAAACAGACATAGATAAATTGAAGTCAATTTAATGCCATGCTGTGAAAAGTAATAACATCTCAACAGAGACAAGCAGGTGCCAGTGGTGTGGCGTCCCTCCACCAGAAAAGTTACATAATGTACCTTTAAGAAAGATGGCTACATATGTAAGAGACGTTGATTCAGATGGGCACTGAGCAAATTGACAAAGCATTATGTCATCAATGAAGCATGGGTTCAGGTTAGTTGGTTTAGTCAGAGCAATAACAGGACATTGTCATAGGCCTTGTCAGCAATACAAACATTAGATGTGCAAATAAATCAGTTATAGACTTTAACATCAGGCGCCCTTCCTGATGCAAGTTCTCTTTTAATTTGGACTTACGCTGTTGTAGGTTCTTGAGTGTCAATATATAACTACAGTATTTTTAAGATATATTTAATTATCATATTTAAGCAAAACTATGTGTCTTTCCTGATATGCACACCTCCAGATTCAATTACCCACAATGCAAAGCAATGCTGAAGCCCACTCACTTCACTCTTCACAGCACACAGCTCCCCATAGTTCCCCAAATCTACTCTGCCTCTGCAGGACGTCCCACAGGTGAGGGGGCCTCCCCACACAGGCTTACTTTGATCCTTCATTTGGAGAAACACATTCACACTTTATGAGTTTTTTTTTAAGTTTTTTCAGGGGTTTAGAAAGCTGGAAAGATTTTGGAGAATCTGTGAACTACTCCCTAACTCATGACTCCAGTCCAAATGTTCCATAAGTACTAATTTACAAATTACATACTGTCTACGTACTGACCCTACATGCCTGACCTCAAATACAAATGTACAATTTATATAAAAACTTTTTAGTGAATTTGCTACTTTTTCACATTTACTTTGCTAGACTGAAATGATGGAGCTTTTCTCACTACTGAGGCACTGAGTTCAGTGATGTGAAGCTTTGGAGGAGAACTTATTTTTGACCTTTCCTCCACCTCAATTTTACAACATTATCACTGAAAATGTGAGAATCTACAACAGCAAATATTATAAAAAATGGGTGCTTTGACATCCCCTTTTGTCACCAGTGAGACTGTCCTGTGCAGTGGTGAGTAGATAGATGGAAAGAGTAGATTTGGTTCATTTCTCCTTTGGTCCAGCCTTACCCTGTGGTCCCTCGTGTGGGTTGGAGTTCACCCATTCTCCGTCGGGACCCATGCTAGCCCAGTCCAGCACGGCTTCACTCAGGACACTGGAGTACTGCTCTGAAGTGAAGCAAACACACCACTACTACCCAATCCTGATACACACACAGTTCTTTCAGTGGCCGTTTCATCTGACTATGCACTTTTAAGGAACAGGATATCTGACGTCTGACCCACAGTGGCCTGGCAGATGAACCAGAACCACAGCATTCCTGTTTTTCAAAAAGCTTATCAAGAATCCTCTCGCTAACTTAACTTTTGAAACAATGAGTCCAGTAATGCCAAAGGTATGGATCACCGAGCACTTTGAGGTTGTTTGTAGTGAAATACCATTACACCATCCTGTGCTATTTTAGGAAAAGGACAAAGACACCACTGTTGACAACATACACACAGTCTCATCTACATGTACTCATGTGCAGGCTGTAGTCCATACACTTTATACACAAAGAAAACACAGCATTTTTTATTAAAGGTAAAATAGACTTGAGTGCATACTTGTAATAACTTCAGTATAAGTATAGCCTATATGCATCAAAGCGCCTCTTCTAGTGTCCAGTCCTGGAATACCTCAGGTCACAAGATTCCCATTTGGCCTGTGGTCATGTGGCCATACTAAATCGGAGCCCCAGGGATGGTCATATGGTTGCAAAATCAATTGAGGCTAACCCAAGGGCCAGGACTGTATAATAACTCCCCTTACATAAAGTCATAAACATTAGCCTAAAAATGTCTTCTATATTGCCTTCATCTCATAATATGCATTTTAGGCATTGGTGGTCATACTCCTAGCTCATCTGAATCCACACTATATCTGTAACAGTTATCGCCTCTTCCATGCGTCACTGGCTTCTTGTTAACTATTTAACAGGTGCGCAGTGAAACCAGACCAGGAATGCAAATTAAGGCTCTCATCCACCTATGTAAACATGTTTATCTTTGCTATACAGTCAACATAGGGATTCACGTTACAACATGTCATTGCACTCTTTCTGGGAGTTGGTTATAAGCTTTGTAGGTTTTTAACTTTTAAATTGGTCAGTACATTGTACCCAGTGCGCAGGGGGACCTCAAGTTTCCATGTTGTTGTGCTGCAGAAAGCATGATACAGTTATAAGCTGAGTAGAGGCACGTTTCTTTTACAGCTCGAATTAGAATTGATAACAAATACAAGTAATACACATAAAGTAGAAATATAATGCAGCTACCGTTGTGCAGGCATGCGAAGCGCACACTATACGGCTCAACTTATTTCCCCAAATCAACACTGGCTTTGCGGTCAGTAGCTTATACACAGTTCAGCTGCAGTTAGAACAAGTAGCCCAAGGCACCTGCAAACTTATAACACGCACTGCTGTAAATCTGTAATAAACACATTTCCGTTATCTGATAATAACTCACCTTGTTGTCGGGTTTCCATCGGCGTAGGCCAGGTGCGTCTCTCGGGACAGCCAAGGTGGATGACACGCGCCGCACCGGCAGTCGGCTCGCTCCGGGTGTACTCGGGTTTCTTCGGATGTCACGCGCTAAGTCAGTTCAAAGGGCGGGGCTTCCGGCATTGACCAATCAGTGGTTTTACCGTAATTTATTAACGCGCCCCTGGATGCTTTCTCTATGCGTGCAATAATAAACCAGTTAAGCCTACAGTAATTGAAATAAAACAAGCATTTTTCTTCATTACATTTAATAATAAATCATATAGTCATAACCACATTTTAATGGCAATTAATGTCCCTAGTTAAATACAAAGGATAGGTGCTTTTCTCGAGTTAATATCTAATGTCTTCTAAATATGCCTTGCTTTCCGTTTTCTGTTTCAATGGAAAAGAAAACCAATTATTGTGCAATTATGACATCTGCTGACAAACTGCAGAAGTCACAGTTAGAGTTTATTTTAAACAGAATGGCAACATCTGGGTTAATGCTTTCATTTTATGTCTCAGCAATCCTAATAATTACATCAAATTGAAAAATATAATAATTAAGTTTTTGGCATTAGTATATTTTATTTTCATACATCATTAAATAAAAATAGTGCATGGCAAAAGTAGACATTTTAATTTATCAGTAAATAATTATTTTCTGAGGGTTGAGAACCATTATTCATCAGTAACACACTAATAACTTACCAGTATACAGTATGTCATTCAGTCAGTGACTGTAGATGACTAATTACTTATTATTGGGGAACTATGGTAACCATGTACAAAGCATTAAGCACTACATGTTTCTCTGCTTCTGGAATACATTCAGAAAAGGCAGTAACATAAAAGTTGGATATTTGTATCAGTTTAAGAGATTGTTTCATTGCATAACAGCAACATCTTTCTGTCGACATGGGTCGGATTATAGACGGATTTAAATTACAAATCACATTTTCGTAATGATACGCACATGTGATTCAATGTGATTTGGATAAAATGGTGTTAAACATGACCCTGTAGTGCACCTATGTCATATCATGGGAAGGTACTACATTTTTCAAGTTTCCAGCTTATCAGACTTATAAAATATTTACCCATTTGGCCTGATCAGAAATGTTGGGCAGTCATCATAGGCAGAGATAAGCAAACACAAAAGTTGACTAAACTTCTTTTTGACACAGCAGTGATTCATAGTTTTACTTCCTGGGCTGGCTGTTACACAGCTCTGGCAAAAGCACTGGGAAACATTTAAAAGCTGCACATGTGTGCAGCACAATGATGCATATGGAGAGCTTTGTGTAGAGAGAACAGCAACTCCCTGAGAGTATTCGATCCCCGAGTCATTTCCTCTCACACACAGCACAGACTCTGCAGAGCACCGGCTGTTCAAGCTCATTGTAAAAAGTCTGTTTTTTGTAAAGCAAAACTAATGGCACTGCAAAGTGCAATATGCATGCATTTACAGATTGTTCCTGTTTCTGTAGTTCTGGTTTGAACTTGGTATTTCCTCATCAGATCCAGAAAAAAAACAAAGTGCATTGTTTGTGAAAAGGTCCAAAGAGCACTATCGTTGTTTTTAATGTCACTATAAAACAAAATAAGGGGTATGGGGAGACACACATTCTTGTCTTTGGTGGACATCCAAGCTCTCAGTACAAGACAGTGACACTGCAGTGGCTCGAGCAGCTATAGCCCCTGAGCTCTGTGTTCCCCTGCTCTCAGCTGCTCTCAGCTGCTCTCAGAGGAGGTCCTCAGTGAACCAGTCCTCTTTGATCTCAAACTAAAGCAGAGGCCAAGGCACAGGAAGGAGGAGACAAGAGCCATGCAGCAGAGAGAGGTCAGAGGATAATGGTGGACAGCAGGTGGACTGCAGCCAGACAGACCTTTCCAGACCCTTAAAGCTCCCAGAAATCTGCTGCTTACTGCTGCAGACTGGTGCTCTGCTCACTACTGCAAATGAGTTACAAACTACTGGCACTAAATAATCTTAAAACACTAAAGACTTTTCCTTTCACTGCAAAAGCCACAGTGCTCTTAGCAGCTTGACATGTACATTATGCAAACTATTTTTCCATCAACAGACCTATTTGGATCTGCTGTTACAGCTAAAAACATACCCTGTAGGAATATTTGAAACCAAAAATAGATTCAACAATTATTTTAAAGTACCTCTCTCTTACATATCTGCACAGAACCGTTACCAGTGCTTTACAAAGGCCTTTCGTGGAGATTTGTTTGCTCTGCCAACTCCAAAAGACACAATAACACTACCATCCTTCTCAAATATAAACTCTATCTGACAATGCTATGGCTGCACGTCAGTCTGGCCACATGTTTTGTATTGGCTACAACAGCTTTTTTATTTCAGATAAAGACATTTGGCTTTTGGCATGGACAAAGGGGTTGGATCTTAGGGCTAAAGTATATCAGATATATATGAGCTTGTGTGAATTTAAAAGGCAAAGGCTTTTAAATAAAAGATGTAATCAAGGTTATATTGCTCTTCTAAACTTTGCACTTATTTATTTTCAGGTTTGTTCATCAGCCACTCAGACGTTTTCATCCTCCCCAGTGTCCATGGTGTTTACTTGGGCAGGGGTTTTCAAATTGCTCCTTTTGTATGCCAACAAAAAGGAAGCAATGTGCAAGGTGTTGAGAGTTTTTTCTTCTGATTTGATATTCACTGTAGTATAACATAATATGACTTGATAAAATCCTGTGTTGTGATACAGACTTGGAGTTTGGCTTGACAGTTTTCAACCAGAGAGATAATCCAATGTGTTGTTTTTGTTCTTTGCACAGTATACAGATAGCAGAGTCTTTCCCTTTGGCTTGAATTGTGCAGTAGTAGTAGTAATTATAATCTGCCTCTGTTTTTACCTGAGAGGCTGGTAATCACCCTGTACCTTCCATGAGCGTGGGAGACAATCAAGATGACTCAGAATGGAAGCTCCCTGAGGTGTGTGGGTGTGGTCTGTTGTGAAGGCGTGGTCTGTTATGAAGGGGTGTGGCCTGGTGTAAAGGGGCATAGTCTGTTGTTAAGGGGCGTGGTTTGTGAGAGGAGCCTTGAGACCAGACGAGTTTCAGATCCAGCGTCCAGAACCCTGAGAGTGCTGCTTTTTTTTCTTTTTGGATAAATAGTAGATGGGGAAAACTACCAAACCTGAAAGAGAAAAGGACATTTTGTTTCATTTAGCTTCTTTCAGCTATTTTAGTATACTGATTGTGATTTTATTGAGATTTTAATACATAATACATGGACTAAACATTGTCACAACAAAAATCTAACTTTGCTGCCCTTTATATTGTCATTCACATAAAAAGTAACTATACAGTTCAAAAAGACTGCTTAAATATGGAATACAAATAATAAAGTGGCATTTAAACTCCACAAATTGTATGAAAGAAAAATATTAATCTAGAAAGTATTTGTCTCCACAGTCTAAACAAAGTCTATGGGAGACACTGCTGAATGCATGGACACTTTATTTTCTACATGCACATTAATATGCAAGAGAATAAATGGATTTGTAGAGGTAAATTTTCTCTCCATCTTCAGAGTGTATGGTAGGAATTTATTTGTATTGTTCAATTATAAGCTATATGTGAGTTCATAATTAACATAATTACCTATTACGAGGGCGAGAGCTCCCAGCACCACCACCAGCACAATGACTACTGGTGCTATCAGTATCTTAGAGGCTGTAAAATAAACACATAATAATAGTTATGTTTCTATATTTACACAATAAAATCCCACATGCTGTACTGTGGTATGCGTGCTCAAAATTCAAGAAACAATTCAGTTTTGAAAACATGTTACAGAAAAAAGGGGACAAAAATAGGTTTTCAATGATAAAATAGTACTTGAAGAGGCACTCTGCTGTTCAAGTGGTTGTTCAGCATTTAAAAAAATTAAAAACATTCCAAAATGTTGCATAACTGAAGTGGCAAGTGTTTTAGTGTTAGTGAACATTCTCATTTGCAGCATCTTTACGCCATTTACAAAGCTCTCTCTATGACGCAGATGATCACACATGGATATTATTATTCTTGTTACAACAGAATGAAAAGCAATTTCAAGAATAGAATTACAATTTCACAATCATTTTCTTTTACTGGTAAATAGAGACATGCACGTCTGATAAAAGTAGCGACCGCATGCTGGGTCCAAAGACAAAAATTGTAGAAAAGAAAACAGATCTGCAATGCAGTTCTTAGGAGCTCCAGATTTCGTATTATTATAATCATTTTAATATTTAAATAATTGTCTGAAGAAGGGTGTGACCTCGAAATATTGTGATGTTATTAAAATAATAAAAAAATGGGAAAACTGCAGTGCGGATCGGGTGTTTTTTTTTTCTCCAATAATTTTCTCTGAACATAATCCGTATCCAAACCCCATTAAATGCGTGAACACTTCTTAATCAGATCCATCATGTAAGAAGAGTCCAGTGACAGGTGGTAGTCCAGGAGGACGGCCGTGCATCACTGATCAAAGGACTTCTATGTTTAGTAGTTTTCCATTTTTCTTGTGTAATTCTATCTGCCTGAGGCTCAGACACACAGGTCCCCAAGTTTGGCACGTCATTTGTCTCACTATTCAGGGAGTGAGATGACGTTACAGAAACAAGGTGTCTTCATCAGATTACAGCTATAAAAGCAGAGTATACAAAGCCAGAAATTCAATACATTTTATAAAAATCATATAATACCGGTGTCTTCATCATTGCAAGATAAAAATATAAAACACTGATGAGGGAACGAACAAATAAGTATTAGAATTGATTGTGGATTCTTGGTTGAGGTAAAATGCCTGTTGTATTCCTCTAGTGTATTCCTTTGCTTATCCTCTAGTAAAATTCATGTGTGATACAATGTAATGAGTAGTACCACACATTTTGTTCCCCAGTGGCTTCTTTGTGTTGGAACAGGACTTATCTTTTATCTCTTTACACTGATGTTGCCTTAAAAGATTTCCAAGAACTGCAGATTCAAAGAAAAGAAAAGAAAAACTTTTTAAATAACTCACCACAGACAGAGCCCCTGACAAAGCGCCTCAGATGGGGTTTACCGGGAAGGTAGCGGTACTTGCAGCCAAATACACTCAGGTTAGAAGTGTGGTCCCCAAAAAATCTAAAAATGCAAAAATATCAGATCAGACATTGTGGATTTGAGTTTGAGAGGTCAAGGTCTAGTATTATGAATAATATACTCTTATGAGCTTTAAGCCATGTTATAATGTGGTTACCTCTTCAAAAACATACATGGAGCTGTTTTTTTTTGTTTCATTCACATGTGTTTGAGTAATGCTGAATTATTAGTTTGTCTAAAAGGTGGAACACAGCATTTTGAGCTTTGGAGCATTTTGGAGCTTTTGATCTTTGAGTTTCAAGTTAGTGGCTACATTTTAACATTTTATCTTTTGTTTACGATAGTCATTCCAGTACCAAAATCTTCCAAATGATTCTAGTGAAGGTATGGTTTAAAGAAGAAGAGAATAATTGAATATGCAGGATTTGTGTGTTAAACATGTGTGAATGAAACAAAACACAACTTCAGATAGGTTTTTGATGAGGAACCAACATTGTAATAGATAAAACATTTTTTTTTCAATATTGGCCCTTTAAACATGGCCACAAAGGAGACTAACCCATCAATAAAGTAGTCCTAAATAATTGTTACCTTAAAGCAGGACAACATGAAAAGATTATAATTATAGTCATTACAATATCAAAACAATTAGTCAAACTGCAGCGGGCCCAGCATTTCGTGGTGGTGCATGTTCCACAGACTGAGAATCACTGATGTAGATAATGTCTCTTTAAGTAATATAAACCAACCGTAAATGTCTATAGCGCTCCCCACAGCGGTAACAGAAGTTGGTGTTACACTGTGCACAGGTCATGTGATCACACCCCTCGGTCCGCTGAATATGGATCTGTAGAAAAACAAAACCATGACAGTCTTTCACATGAGGAATCAGATACAAGAGGTTTCCAGGAAAATAATTCACTGCTATAAAACTCTGCAGGAGAATGGGAGTTGAACACACTGAACTGATTTGAATAAAGTAGTAGAAACTGCACTGGTTAAACAATCATATGTAACTTTTTGACTAGTTTGCATATACAGTACAGAAGGGCATAGTCAAATTCACAAAGACGTCAAATGTGTGATAATTTTTTATGACTGGTAAAATACAACAGGTCCTATCAATATCATTATCACTTAAAAGCTAATGGCGTAAAGATATGTCATAATGCTTTCAAATGTTGTGCTGTGTAAAAGATTGCCCATAAGGATAGGGTGCGCAAGGGAAGGTGGTGAAGACTGAAATGATGGCTAATACAGAATTTAAAAAGTAAAATGTTAAAAACATCATACAACTTTTACCAATATACAGAAATGTAATTGCTTTGCCTTGAATGTTTCACAGTATGACAATAAATCTATCTATCTTGTGCATATTCCATTACGGGGGCTTTATTACTAAAAATATCTTAGAATGAACAAGGTAACTGATCCACTGATCTGACGGGCTGTCACTTGGCCTGGTGGTGTGTCCTTGGAGATATGATGAGTTTAATGCTATATTGCGGGACATTCCAGGCAAAGCAAGGAGACAAGTAGGAGACAAGTAGATGGTAAACATTCAGAAATGTTAAATAGAGCACCTTTAAATTCACAATTAGGCTGTCACGATAATTACTATATTGACCTATGGTTCAATATATTATAGATGGAACAATACTGGGGGCCGGTATTTATTGTGTGGACTTTTTCGTTGTACTAGTGAGGTTTTTTTGTTGTTATTTGAGCTATAGAAGTATAAATAAATAACTACTATGACTACAATAGATACAAAATAACAGTGTTTTATTCTGCAGTTTATTCATTGCAGTTTCAGTTTATAACCTTATTTTACATTTAAAATATTTTTATGGGCATAATCCTGCTTTAAAAAGGAGCATTTTGTAACTTTTCTGGTGAAGGGTCTGTGAAATGCTTGTCTCCATGGAAATGTTATTGCTTTGTCAGGAATGTTTCACAGTATGGTATTAAACCTTTCTATCTTCATGGAGACCAAACCAGACCCAGTTACAGGTCAGATCTGTGGAGAGGCAACCCTGCTCACAGTCAGAATGCCTGTTTTTCTACTTATTTTTGAGCTAGAAAACCACCTCTGATTGAATAATATAGAAACAAACAGGTGACGGATCCTTCACCAGAAAAGTTACACAACACATCTTTAAGGCTGTTATATCAGTGGCATACATTTGTTTCAGTATTATCATTTATTATCTATATTTCCTTCAGCAATATATCAAACTTCTAAATGTGTTATCGTGACGTGTCTACTCACAAACCACTAGATCCTTGTAGCCTCAGGTCAACATCGTCACTTCAGTTAACACTTCTCAAACAGCTCCTCTACAAACTATTTACTATTTTGTTTACTGAAACCACTGCACATTCACAGAGCTGAGTTGCTGCACTTGAGCCCATTTAAAATTCACATATTTTTCCACACTAAATCATACTGTGCTGCTCTTCTTCTGCCACACTACTCTCTATAGATCTTTGCTACCAGGGCTGCTGCTGTGTCTCTGCTGTCGACCGTGCCTTAAGTTCAACTCTCCCTTTTCAGCTAAACCCAGTGTGACACCAATTTGCAGGCTTCTTGGCTCCAACAAGCTCCTATGTGCCTCTCCAAAAGGAAGGTTATGGAGAAACAGAGACACAAAATGAACCCAGATGGGAAACATTCGCTGCTGTGAGCAAACAGTTTCCATATTCCGGTAATTAGCGTAATTTATGTCTTCCTCCTCCCGTGTTGTGCCTGTTAAATTAGATATTGTCTCCTTGGTTATAATGGGAGTGAAAGAGGCGGGCTGTGTTCATAAAGCTAGCCGATATGGTTTTGAGGCAATCATCATCATTTTTCTATTACCTGCACTGGCCTGTTCCTGCATGTCCTTCTGATTCTCTTTGCTTTTCCATCCATCACACATCTCTGCTCTTTGGCCTCCTAACCCGCATTGATTCCTCCATCTCCAGTGATCCTAATTTTCATCATGTGTTCTTATTGCCACACACCTATACCTGCTATGCTCATGTGCAATCATAAAGAAAACAGTACAAAGTGGTATTACCTTGCACTGAGGACATTTCTGCGCATTCCTCTGGCCATGCTCGATGACGCTGGCCCACGTTCGGAGGAGCTTGTCCCCTTTCCTGTATTCACGGCACTTCAAACCGTTATGCCAAGGCGCGTGGCATTTGAAGCACCACAAGAACTGGCAACTCTCACACTGAATCTGTGAAATATAAAAAGGTACATTATATTACATTAACAAGTCAAACCTTTGAAAATATTTTGACAAAGCAGCTTTATTATGGGACTTTGTGTTTATTATCATCATTATAGCTTTTATTTATGTACTGTCAAAAGGTGGCTTGCAGAGGTGGAATAGACATTTATTAGTCATGTATTGTGATTTATGCTCATTAGAAGTTCAGAACAGAATGTCCTTTTTTATTGCACATTTTTGTAACTGAATAGACCAGTAACTGTAATAATTAGGGATGTAACAATCCAAATCTCCCGATGTGATATTTTCATGATATGCATTGCACAATATGGTTAATTCATCATGTAGATTGGACTGAAACAGAGCAAAGGATCATGGTGTATGTAGTTCTCTCTGCTTTTTTATCTCTTGCTGCACCATAATAATATAATAAGCAACGTGACTTGATATACTGTAATAGCCCAAGATATTATTGTGAGACTTTTGAAGATGATAATGATGATTCAAATGCTACTTATGCCAATAAAGGCCCATCATAGCCTTAAAACCGTAGGCTTTCCCGCATAATAAAGATAGAATTAACATAAGAATATGAGTAAGTATGAGCATACACTGGACCTCAATACCAGATGAAATTAAACAGCAAACCATATATAAGGTTTTCACCAAACACCTGAGAGAATGGCTGGTAAACACATACACCTGCCAACGCTGAGGACTAAAGCCTGTTGTGTTAGACTTAGACAAGCTTTATTGATCCACATAGGAAATTATTTGGACAGAAGCTCACACATCACAATATATAGAGTGTATGTACAAATAAGTAACAACAAAAATATAAAAATGTATGCATGTTGTGTGTTAAGTGTAAGTGGTCTAAATACCTGTAGTTTGTTTTGTCTTGTACTTCTCTTGCTCTATGTATTGTCTCATGTTTGTATTTCCTATGTACAGTCTGTTTTGTCCTGTGAATGCTATTTTTTATTGCTTCTCTAACATCAGGACCAAGAGACTACAGATGAAAAATAGCCTCTTAGCTAATTCGAATGAATATTTAGTTATGTGTTTTATGAAATGGCACTGTCCCCTTTCAAATAAACTAATCTAGCACTTTATGAACTCATACTAAACAAAGTCCTACCTTGTATTTGTGCTCGGAGCGGTTGGGGGTGTGATTCTTGAGTGATGTGAAGTGGTTACATTGGGGGCAGGGTTTGGTACTAGAGTCCAGTTGACTCAGTTCCAGAAAGTATCGATATCTGGCCACCTCCTCACTGGTCAGAAGGGACAGCATCAGCCCCTCCTCCAGGAAACCACTGCAGTCCGGGCTCGGGCAGCTCACAAAGGCTTTGGCCATTCGCACCTGCACATTTCAGAGGTTTTAATACAAGTAAAAATAATAATAACAAAATATATAGATTATTAAATGCTAAAAATAAATCTGGTACTAATTTTACAGGTTGGGATAGGATGTAGTTTACCACTGAGTCAAAAAGACACTTGAACCTGAAATGTTGATTTTTTTATAAATTTCAGTATAAAATAAATTACAAGAAAATGCCAATAGTTCTGAATTATTGAGCTACACAAAGTGCACTTTGTCCCAGGTGTTTTACATACTTTTTAAGTATAACCACATTTAGTTTTGCATAGTTCCTGGAAAATAAATTCCTGTGCTGATCTTGGTGTTGAAAAACCTTTGAACTACAATTATATCACCTTAAATTGAATTAGGGTTGGTGTGTGTTTTTTTTGCCTTCTGGGAAATGTCAAACTGCCTGAGAACCTTGTGAACAGTGAACAACAACAGGCTGAAAGTTTTAAGTAAACAAACGCTGCATCACTTCCTTGAATTAATTACTCCAGCCATATACACACATTGTGCAGTGACATAGAGGTGTGTTTAAGGCCACAGCCTATCCCATTTGGAATTGAAAATTCTGAATTGGATAATTTAAATTAACTACATCACCTGTCAATTTAAGGACATTTAGGGACTCTAACGTCCTCATGGGGAATGCAGTTTTTCTTTCTTCTTCAGACTTTCCCTTTTGACATTCTTTGTGCACCAGAGCCAGTGGGACCAGTTAAACTGACACACAAACAGCCACATCCATAGAGTAAGAAAACAGAACACATCCCCAGATAGAGTTACACCCAGGGCACATTCACACTCTCAGTAAAAGGCCATTACATGATTCTGAAAGGGATCCTGCTGCTCAGACACTGGAGCTGTGTTGGTATTGTTGCAACAACACATTGATGACCACAGACTGGTTGGACTGGTCGCCCCACTGGCACCTGAGCTGTTTCAACGCACGCGTCAGACCCACTGTGTCCTTACTCCCATACTGGAGCCCACATTAGAGGAAACGGGAGCTACTTTGTGTAGGACTGTTTGACAATCACTATACTGGTTTATTGTTCAGTATATGACAGATGGAACAATAATTCTTTCAGAGACAATATTTATTAAGGGTACATGGGGTTACGTGTTATTTTTCTGTACTATGATAAAACTTAAACTGAAAAGTGTCTTCTATGACTCAATCAGCACTGTATGAAGTACAAACTACAAAGGTGTTTCATTCTGCTATTTATTTATTGCAGGCAGCTTGCATGTTTTTAGTGATATTGTACTTTTAGAATATTTTGGGCAGTAAACCTGCCTTCATGGTTACTGTGTCAGTGGCATGAATTCGTTTCACAATTATCGTTTATTATCTATAGTTACTAAGCAATAAATCACACTTCAAAATCTGTAATCCTGATAGTGCTACTTGTGATGGAACTGTAGAATTGCACTGCAATGATCCTTTTAAAAGTAAAACATGGACCATATCTGTGGAGAATTACAGCTCTGCATGATCTGCCTTTAAATGCGACTCTTAACAGCTGCTGTGCTCATCCCAAAATAGGATTGAAATACAGTAAGGGATAAAATCATTCCACCTCCACAGGACAATTTAGCTAACTGTTATCTCATTCACTGAGCTTATCTAAAATAGTCTACCGTTTCATGTCTTTTTTCCAACCTCACAATCAGACTAAAAAGATACTATGAGATAAAAGGTGCAATAGAATGACTTTATATCCTCCCCAGACAAAATGTAAGAGCGCAACTTTCAAACTCGTCAGACATTAGAGCATTCATCATGAAGCCCTCAGACCAGAAGACTACAAAGTTGAACCATCTCAATGACAAGGCACTTAGGGAGAAAAATGGCTGCCCTAGTGCACTTACACAATGGTTAGAAACAGCATTTGGCAACGTGCCTCAAAATTCAGAGTGCTTAGTTCTATGGTACATAATAAATGGCAGTAAAAGCCTCATCTATTATTAATTATCTTGGCTGGATGGACAGGTAATCGATAGGTGTGACAAGTGACAAAATAATATATGCATGGCAAAACACTTTAATTGTATTGTCCCAAATTGCTGTGTCATATTTTGGACCAGTGTTTTTTTTTACCGCAATACTAATGACTGATACTTATTGGAATGTAGGCAGTGTTATATTTAGAGTAACTGTGGGACAAACAAGAGGATAAGCAGCGTCAATGTGGTAATACAATTATAATGTAATATTACACAAACTTTAAATAGGGCGAGTAAGTTTTTGTATTGTTAGTATGTTATTGTATGATAATGGTTAAATAGCTTTTTGATGAGTAATTTTATACCTTTATATTTATTGTACCTGCATGACTGGTTCCTAAAAAATATGTATTCAAACGTACTTCCCTTTAAAATACATAAATGTGCAATGCTAGTGCCCTAAATTCAATTCAATATGGCATCTTATTTGAGCTTTAGGCTATGTAACAACACTTTTGACGAAGAACCCAAACTATGAAATGTAGTATTGCAGTTTTAGTACTGAGTTTTGTGATATGGATAACTCACTAAGACAAAGAACTGCAGTAATCTCAGTAGTTGGTATTTCAGAACATCATGTGCTTGTCTTAAGGTAGGCAAGCCAACATAACCCAGCACGTGCGTAATTGCGCAAGGGCATTGGCACCAGCTGGAGACTGACCCAGCTTTTATTGTGGGACAGCATTTTGGGCACCACGCCGCTGCCCCGGCCCGTCCCATCACCAACCTGCGAGCTGACGTAGAGTTTCAGGCACTCTTCGCACACTTCCATCCCACAGCAGGGCAGGGGTAAGATCGTTTTTAACTCGAGGCACACCCGGCAAAGCTGCGCATTAGTCTCTGCACCAGCCTGTTCCATAGAAAGCCGGCGGGACAAGTCTGCGATTGGATCCACCAGGTCTTCCAGTGTATACAGATCCGGCTCTGGGCTCGAATTGGGGTACATTTCCATTTCCAGTTGTGGAATAGAATACGCCTCATGGTCAGGAAGAGCCAGAGTTTCGTTTGAGTGGTTTGGTAAATCATAATCTTTTAAGTTTTTGTCGTTGGCAATGCAGTAAACAGTGCAATACACGTGTTCTTTGGTATTAAAAGACTCCACTGAACTTATTGTGCTTCCATCATTATCACTAACATTTTGGCACTCAGTAGAAGCAAATCCAACTCCTTTTAGGTCCCCAGTATCGTTCAGGGTGAGTTCGTTTTTGACTGCGGGTTCGTCCGTTTCCTGACTCGACTTTTTCTCATCCCCAATATCATCTCCGCTCGTTGTAGTGTCTTTTTGGTGGTTGTCATCCTCTGGTTCACACGGAGTCCGAGTGCAAACATTAAGACAAAGTGATGGAGATTTAGAGACGGTTCCGAAATTCCTCCTCAGTATTATTTCCACTGCACTGGCCCTGCGCCTCTCCCCGCCTCCCCCGCTGCTGCCGCTGTTGCAGTTGTTGTTGTTGTTACCCTCCGCATCCTTCTCCTCCTCCTCGCCTATGCGCTCCTCCGTGCCCCCGTCCACCTCTACGGAGGACAGCTGTGAGTCCGACACGGTGACACGGCCGCTCAAATCAATCACCGATCGCTCAACTTTGGCATCGGAGTAGGAAGTTTCAGTCGACAGATTGCGGGACAATTTGGCCCTCCCGTCCTCGAAACTGCTGATAAAACTCGGCATCGTAGACTGACCAGCTATGGGTCCTTCATCTTCCATGCCCGGTAGAGCTCGCCCCATTTAATGAGCGGTCCTGTGCCGCTCTCGCCACGCTCTCCCTGCCTCTACTTCAACTCCGACCAAAACATAACAAAGCAGGTAGCCGCCAGCTTCCGGGTGCGGCGTCAGCGTGCAGGACGCAGCGGCGGACCAATGGGGAGCGTGCTGCCGGAGAGCGCTCGTGCTGCCTGGCAGATGGGCACCTGCGTTTAATCAAGCTAATTAGAAAGTCATTGTCCACGCGCTGTTGACAGGGACGTCAACAGAACAGGCTGCGTCCAAAGTGCAGCGGTCACTGGCCTGACAACCTGACAACTGTACACTATTCCATTTTCATATCATTAACCTATCGTTAGACTCTGAAATAGTGTCTTATAGTGTATTAGCCCTTAGTGAATTATCAGGGTTAGACCTTGGGAATGCCTAGGTTATTATTTGAACACAACTAGGCAAGTATTAACATCACTGCCCAGACTACATAGACCTGCCATTGATTTGCAATAAGTAAAAAGTAGCCTTACTAGGGTGACCAGATTTTCAAAATAAAACAAACTAGGACATCCTTGCTTTGTGGTGGCTGGTAATAATACAATTGTGAATTGAGTGCGTAATTAAGGAACATTATTATGCATTCTGCACTAATGTGAGTCAGTATAGTCACATTTCCTGTGTGTTTTTGTCATTTTAAAGCAAATTTTCTGTATTTTTACCTTTTAAATTTATGCCTCTCTTTACTGTAAGCAGGCATCAGATTGGTCAAACATAGGGATACCTGGGATGTTTCTTGTATAAAACTGGGACAAATAAATGGTTTTGAATAAATCTGCTGGGACAAGGGACACAGTGCTCAAAACTGCAAAAGTCCTGGGGAAATAGGGACGTCTGGTCACCTTAATGTCTTACAGTGTCTTAGCTCATATTATCAGAAGTAGACTTTGGGAATGCCTAGGTTATTATTTGAACAGAACTGGACATTTATTAACATTGCCCATTCTTAGCAGACCCAAATCAAATAGGCCTACCACTGATTTGCAAAATGTAAAAAAAAGAAGCCTTAAACGTGACACTTTGAATGTTATAAATGCAAAGAATTTAGATTAAAAGATTTTTAGCATTTCTTTGATGACATGCAGCCTGAACATCTAGCCTCAAACATTTGTTAAGGCTTCTTTTGGGTAACAAGTAGCTAACAGTACAAAATGCATGCTGTTGCAGTTTGTTCTAATAATGTCAAAAGTCAGACTAATATCTGTTCATCCCCGTTGTGATCAAACCCATTTAGAATTCCCCATTTACTCAGCTTTTTACTGGAGCCCATTTAGTCTTTACCTCATAAGTGACACTTCAACAAAGCAGAGTAAAATTAAATTGGACGGATACATTTTTAGTTCAGGGCTGTTGGCGTGTTTCAAATGAGCCTATTTGGGCCAGTGCCTGTGAAAAGCCTTGTTAGCTGTGTTACAATTCCTCATTAATGACACAAGCGCCAGGCAAACTGTAATTAGTTCTCTCGTCCTGGCTCAGCTCAATTGGTTTTTCATGAAGAATGCCAACATGAACAGTGCACGCTTTGAAGGCCAGAATAGCCAACTCCATAGATATTTGATGTAAAACAGATCAGATTGGGGAAGACCACACCACACTGTGAAGCCCGTATGAAAATTTGCACCTACAATGTTCCTTTATTGTAGCTTTATAACTTCTCACTTCTATTCCTGGGATTTTAGATGGTTTACTTTTCCACTTGTTTATTTTTTATAATTTTTAAAATCAAATTTCCCTTTAAGCACCAGTAAAATACCACCCACTCATCTTGTCTTACTTTTTAACAGTGTACTGGCAACATGCAAATATCTATATTTTCTAGGACAGCCAGAGGTTGTTGATTGTAACTAACATTTATACTGAAGTAAATTTGGGGGCAAATTTGTGCCACTCTTCTGAAGACTAGTCCATACATTACAAAGTTGTTTTGTCTGGGCTTCTGTGTTATGTTATTGCTTTGTCTGGAATGTTCCGCAGTATGGCATTATATATATTGGCTTTATTCAATCAAACATGCATTTTTTGCTCAAAATACATTGAAAAACATGCGTTATTAATGGGAGCACAGTCATCTCTCCACAGATCTGACCTGTAACCTGGCTTGATGGTGTCACCTGCTTGCCTCCACAGAAGTAAATAAGTTAAAAGCTACAATTTGCAACATTTATGTTATAATGCTCCTCATCAAAAACACACCTTGACTTTGGTTTTGTTTCATTCGTACATTTTTGAGTAACTCTGCATTATTATTCTGTCTACATCTCCAAAGCTCAGAATGCTCTGTTCCACCTTGTGATGTCATGAAGCAGTAATTTACAAGTTAACAGCTACTTTTTACCTTTTGTTCAATGGGCTATTCCAAGGTTGACATTATCCAGATGATTCTAGTGAAGGTGTGTGGAGTTTAAAAACACAGTGGAGTACTTCCTGTTTTACCACATGACATCACAAGGTGGCACAGAGTGTTTTCTGTGTCAGAGAAGAACTTGAAGGACACAACTCTGGGCATGATTCTGATGAAGAAACAACTTTATAAGATAGACCAGAAATTATTTGCTTATGTTGATTAAAATTTAACTATACCAGGCCTAAAGTTGGATGCACAAGAAAGACTGAATCCCACTAGAACACTGTCTCTCTGTGAAGCGTCCTCTTTTCCTCTTAATAAGAAATAATGTTGGCAATGTGTCAGGCAAAGACACACAATTAGACTTCTCAGCTAGCTCCCCTGCCATATTCCCAAGGGTCTACTTTGAGCAGTCACCTGTGGAAATCCGTTATAAAAATAGGCTTTAAACTAACATAGACTATTTAAGTAACAGGTGAGCAATTACAAATCAGCCCATAGCCCATAGGGAGAACACGGACTTTAATGTAAGCTTAGTATTGAAAGAGCATGACTTTACAAACCCCCTTTTAAATTGCAGTTCACATATACAAATGAGAATGTGAATAGCTGGGGCACTTGAAACCAAATCAATTTAATGAAGCTGCAGATGTTGCATTTGTCCTACAAAATGTACAATTTCCAATTCTACAAAGACACTGCCAGCAGACATCTCTATTATTTATACATTTAATCAGCACCGTATTCAGCTGTCTGTATGCTCTGGGTGTTAACTCAAAAGGCTCATAATAAAGAGATTAACAGAGATTTTGTAAGCTGTAATCACACTTCAGAACAGCCATACAAAAGCAGGACTTGATGTTTATTGACACACTGTCAAGAGTAAACGGGCCCCACGCTGGATTTGTTTCGTAAAAGGCTTGGGTCTATATAAAGTAGTGATTTTCGAGAGCGCTAAAGACTTCATGAAATCCAAGGGCAAAAGTTTTGTCATTCATCTAACAGCTGTTCCTTCACTAGAGCTTGAAGGTGCACTGCGTAACTTTTCTTCACTTGGTTGTCTCCATGGCGATGCGATTATCTTGCCTGTTCAACTACATGACATTAAACATTTCTATCTAGCATTCATTTCATTGCCTTTTTTTTGCTCAAAAATACCTTGAAAATCAAGCATCTGTGAGTGGGGTTGCCTCCACCAGACGCTCCACCAGAAAACATAGCCCCACAAACATGCCATGTCACTAACAGGGCTCATATTACACTATTTTCTGATTTATGTTATAATCTTGTTTCCTCATCAAAACATGCCCGGAGCTGTGTTTTCCCTTACTCAAACATGTTTAATGCACAAACCCAGCATATTTAGACTGAGTTCTTCTTTCAGACAGAAAACACTCTGCTCCATCTCCACTGAACACACCTTCACCTACAATAATTTGGATGATTTCAGCCCTGGAATTGCCCATTTCTACTAAACTAAAGGTAAAAGGTAGCTGTTAACTTGAAAACTACTACTACATGAGATCACAAAGTGGAAGAGCATTTTGAGCCTTGGAGACAAGCTAAAAATGCAGGATTACTCAAATATGTGAATGTACGTTTTTGATCTTATAACAGCATTATAACATGGTTTAGAACTCACAAGAGTCAATTTTGTGTAATATAAGTCCTTTAACAACATAATTAAAGGCATGAATGTATTATAAGTTTTAACAGAATTTGCCAGCACTCATTATATTTACTCATAGTCTCAAGTGAAGTTACCCCAGGCAGAAATAAAGGGAAACCAATGATTACTGTCAACCTTTCAAAACAATAGTCACAGTATTTTAAACTAAAACAGAAAATATTTTTGACTGACAAGATTTTCTTTCTTAAAATGAAAGGCTTCCCAGAAGGCTCAGTTCTCTGTAATGCAACAGTCACTTGATTTGTTTTTTCCACCCTAATCAAACAAAGCAGCTCATAATAAATGCTGACAAATCCCCTATGTGTATATTATTGTTATTAACCACACAAATTTGCAACAGTATTTTCATTCCCTTTTACCTTTTATTCAACGTGGGTAAATTAGTCCCTTTTATTCTAATGAAACTCATAATGCCACCACTGTTTCTTAATTAAACCTGCACACGCGTAATGGACTCTGTGTGACCCCCTCTTCCACTGCAATTAAGCCCAAAGACACTCCAATCTTTAATCACTTTATTTATTAAAAAGCAATGTGCAGTCTTTGTTGACAATTTAAATATAAATTAATAATGTTAAATTAACTGGCTGGATTCTGTGTGTTCTCCGGCCTTCCAACATATAATGACATGTTTCTATAGGGCATCTAATTCTCTGCTCTTTCTCATCTCCTATCAAAAAGCACTGTACACTTAGAAGAAATAAAACATCCCACTTACGTACACAACATCGTACGGTATTAGTCGACTAGAAAAAACAGTAAACACGGCCACATGTGGATTAAAAAACGTCTAAATTCAAAGTTACAGATTTTTACAGTAGCTATTTTCTCCTTTAACTCTTGCAGACATTTCCTGTTACGTATAGTCTAGAAAAGGTCACAGAGTTCACATTGAGGGAGCGTTTAGTAACTAGTTTATAGTCACACGCCGCATGAGATTACATAGGTTTCCAAACATCTCATGCAAACACACAAATGCCGCTTGGGGTCGTTGGTAATAATTTTGTAGTTTCGAACATGTTGCTCCAGCGCTGTGACCTGTTGAACTGTTACAAA